GGTTTTTTTTTTTTTTTTTTTTACTTTGGTTTATTTCGGGTTTTTCAGAAAGAGTTTTAACTGAATTGACCCAACCCGAATCCAAATGCAAAACCGAAACTGACCCGACTCAACTGAAATGATGGACAAACTGACCCGACCTGACCCGAAGTCGGTTTTGGGTCGGGTCAATTTTGGTTTCGGATCCAGTTTGTACAACATTATTTCAGACTTGCACAGGTGGTGTGGTGATCCAAGCGCACACATAATTTGATGCAACTTTTTGGCAGAAATTTTACAATGTACATGTTTGTGTGACTGGAATTTCGACAAGTTATTGTTAAAGTAGATATTTACAATGGAAGGGTTACATGGACACATGTAATTACCTTTGCTGGTTTTCTCACAAAAAAGGTAATCACAGTATGCACTGTGTATGTAAACAGTATAATACTTACTCATTTATAAGGACAAACCAGAATCTCATTTCTGTTATCAAATTCTGTTGCTTAATTGTCATGAAGAGTTCTTTTTAACCCTAACTCCCTAACTTGATTTACTAGGAACCATACCCATCCTGGCAAATTCCAACACCATATGGGAAACTGCACACGCATATTTCTGACTCTGTTTCTGGAGGTGTGCCAACCCAATGTAAAAGACTGTCAGTTCAGGGGAACTGTACCCATCCTGACAGATTCCAACAAAAGAATGGGTTTTGATGAATTGAGTTCTGTTAGGGTTAATCTTTCATCCCATCAAATACCAGTACGCATATGCTATCACTAAATTATTATGCTATCACCGTTCCTTTCCATAGCAAATTTCTTGTTTTAGTTTCTTCACATCAAATTTACTTGGCACTCCCATTTGCGTGATCTACATGTACATGTATAAACAGGTTTTCAGACTGTCAGGTTACAGCTTTAACACTATTCATGTCCATCAGTCAGTTTTCACTCGGTTCCCCTTGCATGGATGGCTTGCACTCATCAGTTACCAGAGAACATTGTTCTTGACACCTTTCAAACGATTGACTCTTGATGTACATACTGCTGCCCTTGTGCTGATGGCTCGGTGCCAGTCAGCCCAGGACATTGTTCCTGAGCACTTGCAAGTGACTGCTGGCTCTCTGCTGGTTCTGGATGTACACACTGTTCCCCTTGCATGGATGGCTTGCAGTCAGTCAGACTAGAGCATTGTTCCTGATGAGAACTTGCAGGTTCTGTGCTCCCTGCTGGTTCTGCATGTACCTCAACATGCACTTGAACATGCTGCTGACTGTGCATGGATGCCTTGCTGCTGCTTGGCCTGGAACATTGTTCTTGACAGCTGTCCAGTGACTGCTGACTCTCTGTGTGTTGTACATGCCCTTGGCTTGGTGGCTTGCTGCTGCTTGGCCTGGCAGCACGGTGCTCTTGGTCATTTTCTGCCTTTGGAATCACGCGAAGCTCAATCTGCTTCCCTGGCTGAGATGGTCGGCTGGAATTCCGTCTTGGGCAGCAGCGACAGCACAGTTTCAGGAATGAGAAAGCCTCAACTACAGCTGTACGATAGTCAGCATTTGTGGCGCTGTAGACAAGGGGATTGATGGAGCTATTGATGAGTTGCAAGATAACGGTACACAGAGCCACGATAAAACCATTTTTTGCGAGTTCTACAAACGCCATAGGCTTGGCAGACCCAGAAAAATACACTAATTGGATTGTCATGACTAAATTTGCAATGTCCAACGTGTTCAGAATGAAGAAAACAGCAGTATTGGTTGTAACCATACAGAGGACCTTGCCTGCTTGCTTGGGACGGTTTGGCAACAGGGCTGATTGTTTGCGAACTTTCACCACTACATAGATGTACAAAACAAGAGTAACTATTAAACAGACAATGCTGATAAGGAAATGAATCCAAAAGAGGACGTCAGTGAAGACTGTCTCTGGTAAGAATACTAGAATCACACCAACAATAATTGTCGGCACCCAGATTCCTGTTGATATCTTTGCTGCTCGAGATTTAGAGGCCTTTTCTTTAAATGTCAGAGGATTGCGCACTGCAGAGAATCTCTCAGCTGCTATGGTAACCACAAAGAAATTAGAAGCTGCTAGGAACGTGTACCGCACAATTTTAAATGCTCTTTGGGCTTGTGAAGAGTTGTAATCTGAATGTGAATACAGTGCAGCTATAAAGTCAGTCATAAGGTAGAGGGAGTCAGCCACAGCCAGATTGGATAAGTAGATATTGATGATTGTACGCATGGACTTCACTCGAATGACTGTGAAGAGAAAGACAAAGTTCAAGAAGAGGCCAATTGGTGCAACTATTTCAATGCTGAGCTGCTGTATTTGAACAGTTTCTTCTAAACTGTCTTGAAAGTCCCTCCAGACTCTGTCAGTCAGTGAAGAGGAGCTGTTTTGGTAGCCATCACCCGTAGTCCATGTACATTGTAGCATTGATTTCCATGTCTAACATTGTGCTCAGGTGCAACAAAGAGTGGTCTGCCCTATCACAAGATCACTCCAGTTTTATACTAACAGGGAAAATAAGACCTTGAGAAATCTGGAGTTGAAACTAAAAGCTTCTTCACGTTTCCTTCTAATTTGTCCTTCCCTTGTTTCTGTAAGACCAAGTAACAAAATGAACATGTTTCTTGTCCCCACCTGCTTCCTTTTCCCCGCCCACCTCCTTTCTTTCTTTTGAAATCATACATTTTGTCTTGCTATATTTTTCCAGCGAAATTGTAGCTATGTATTTTCAAGTTTAAAAGCTTGTAGAAAGGTTGACGGCTCCTTTGGACACAGAAGTATGAGCAAAAGAGTTGAGAAAATGAAGGAATCCATCCGCCATCTTAGAAGATGTACCATCTTGAGTGGAAGGGCAGCCTCTCCTTTTTTCCCCAAAACATCAGGACAAGAAACTTGTTTAAATTACCTGAGCTACTAAAATGTGACTTTTGTTTTCATTGTTTTCACAGCACTGTAACAAAATCAAACAACAGAGTTTCACCATTGACATTGGAATATGTGAAATGTTTTCTTAGGGTTTTGATTTTCGTTTCATTCGTAAAAATTTTACTATTTTAACAAGAAAATGAAAATGTAAACGAACATGAAAACAAGCAAGATCGTTTCGGGGTTCTCCATATATATTCTCTTATCCTTCAGTGTCAGGTCAGTGTCCCTGTACAAAAATGCCGAGTAATTTGAATTTTTGCAGCATATCTTACTGTTTACTCTGTATTGTAATGATGATCTTATTTGATGGAATAACCCTGCAAAAATGTTTGTTCAAGTGAAATGATTAAAACAAACCGGGAAGGCAGATTTAAGAATTCTAGTATTCACATGGAAATGGCATCAGATTGCAAGTGATCATGGTTCACATTTTTCATTCCAGAGAGTGAGGCAAATTGTGCTCCTAGCTCAGAGAGGCATGTGATCTTAAGAAATAATAGTACCGGAGTGTTATATAACGCATGTGTCTACCAACAATTAGGTACTCAAGGCGCTGGTAATTAGGTCTATTTTTAAAGACAGGTAAATGAAATTTATGAGAAATATGAGACCCATTATGTAGCACCTTTATAAGGATATACAAGGTGCTGCGGCGCATATTGCAGCCACTGCCAGAAACACCGGGGCAAACCCTTTCTCTTAGCGATAAGTGTTATGTGGTTCTTTAACATGCTTTACACAACACACGGGACCTGTGGCTCTACGTCCCATCCGAAGGATGAAGCAATAATGGTAAAGTGCCTTGCTCAAGAGCACAAGGACCATGTTCCCCGTCAGGATTCGAAACCCATGTACCACGGCACACGAGTCAAACACCGTAACCATTGAACCTAAGCCCCCCCAATGAAAAGAAAAGAAAGAATATGAATAAACGTGACTTTTCATTGAAGCGATGAATATTCAAAACTTGAAATTTCTCATGTGTGTTATGATATCTTTGTACACAAGAAGGTCATTTTGTTTCGATGAGGTAAGAAAATGTATGTACATTTGTTCTAGAATCACGCTTGCAATTGTTAACTCTGCAAACTATTGCTGATGTTGCAAAAACCTGCCCGCCAACATTTTGTGAGTTCACTTTTTAGTCGCAGTCTCATCTTGAGATGTTGGATCAGTGATTGACCAATGAGTATTTTTTTAACCGGAGGACGCGGACTCTATAACACCGCCATGTTGTGCTATAAGGGAGGCAATCATATCGAGTTGCAGGCAATTTGAGGATCTGGTGGCCGAACACTTTGAGTCGTGGATGAAGGTTGAAAAGGAGTGAAACATATGGACGTCGGTAGATGAATTGAAAAAAAAAAAGGGATTTGGTTTGATGAATATGAGAGATTAAGGTTGCAAACTCTGAACAACAACCAAAACAGCAGCAGATGGTAGACGCTGACGCTGCTAAGAAGCCGACATCGGAATCGCAGCAACCTCCTGGTCCATCCTCTAAATTTCCTCTTAAATTTCCCCCTGAAATCTATATGTGGGTCACAGAAGGGTCTATTGGCATGACTAGGAGCCTCGAGGGCTTGTAGACTGATGAGCAGGAGATGACCATTTTGACATTGCCCATTTGACCCTTGTAGTCAGACCTGTACCTTTTGCCGAGGATAATGGCATTGTGGGGGAGTTTCTAGACAGTTGTGAAAAATGCCCAAGTGTGTATGGTTTGATGACTAGTAAAGTGCCAAAGTGTATGAATTGAAGAAAACGTGTACAAAACCTTTGGAGAAAAAGCGCTTCTTTAATGTGACGTAACATAATGCCTGATTACATCATCACAACGAAAATGTTCAGCATACACCTTCAGGTGGTGGCCCTAGTGTGTGCCAAGTCTGAAGTCGATCGGATTTATGAAAGTGCCAAAGTGTATGGGTGGAAGGAGAGGAGTCTGAAGGAAGGGAGGGGGAAGGAAAAAAGAAAATGTTAACAAAAACAAGAGCTGTTTGGGTGTATGCACTCCGAAAGAGCGAATAATTTCCCAGGATATATTTTCCCTGACCCTTTCTGCCTTCTCTAGATTCCAGAGTTAACCATGAGAGTCAACGAACCACTCCCAGCGGTTACGAAGCGGGCACATCGAGAAGTACCCCGGTCTCCTATGAAGGGGACCGGCCACGGGTCACCCAGGCAACCTCCCGTCACGAGCAACTCATGCATCGCAGTATATATGAAAACGCATTGGCTAGAGGGTCACCGGTGTATGTGGATACCAGTGGAACTGTACGAGGTATGCGCGACTGACACTTGTCACAAGTTATCATCTATTTTTGTTAAAGTTCAACAAAAAATTTGACTGGAGTGCGGTTTGAACGTGTTACACGTACCTCTGATTCCTGTGCGGTACTCTACCACCTGAGCTATCCAGCCCTATGTTGGTGGTTCCTCATTTTGTCAATGTCTTTGTTCAAGGGGCACTATTCAGAAGCCATTAACACATATATGCCATGTAGCCAGGGATCACGCCCTAAGTCATAATCAGCTGCAAACATGGGAAGTAACAAACAAGGATCTTTCAGAGAGGATGCAGCTTTTTTGTTACAGTTTACTGTCTACATGTAGATTTTTTAATAGTCGCATTAAATATCCAGATGAAGTTGTAGACAAGATTATCCACAGTGACCCCATTGTATTAGACATTAGTCTCAGAGTGGTTGACAACTTTCCCAGAATCTTTACACCGTTAGGTTATCATCACTGTTTACAAATTGATAACATCATTGTGGGAAGATTCGAGGGAAGTTAAGAATTCTTGCTTTTACATGTACAGATCAGTTTATCTACAAATATCCCAGATATTTATATCACTCCTTAAAACCCTCCTATGCAAACATGCATTTTCAGTGCACGCACAATGAAAAACCTGTAATTTTGTTGAAATTGTTTTAAACAAGGCTCCATTTTTTGGGGGGAGATAAAATGACATCAGAAAAAGATATTTTTGCTATTTTGGGGTTTCTATATTATTTCGAGTGACATCATTTAACAATCACAACTTCACTGAGATAACAACCATTATACATGTACAATGAATGGGATTTAGAGAAATGTAAAATATAAGATTGAACTGAGATTTGAAGGTTTGCATGGTGGAAAGATACTAAGACAAGATAAGTTTGTAGTGACACCATGTGAATAAATCTCTTTTGTGAGTATGTGTGGTTCTGAAAAAAACCAGAGGGACTCAACGTTTCGAACAGTATGCTCTGCCCGTCGTCAGGAGAATGATGGATTCCAACGATAATGCCATGATTCTCACGCCTCACCGCACCCATCCTTATAACATCGCATCATCGTTGGAATCCCTCATTCTCCTGACGACGGGCAGAGCATACTGTTCGAAACGTTGAGTCCCTCCGGTTGTTTTCAGAACCACACATACTCATAAGATTGAAAATTTGGTTTTACTGAAACTCTTTTAACGGAAACTCTTGCAGCAACCAACCCATTTGAGCGTCCCATGCCCCACATGGATCCATCAGCATTATACCTGGCACACCAACAGCAACGGGATTACATGAATCTGATGGCCAGATCAAGTCAGCCAGACACAACTTCCTTCAACAGCTCCAAGGAAACGCTAGCCGGTAAGTCAGGAGAATACTCAACCACTCCATATCGGTCACACTAATTAACCCTTCTGGTCTGTTGCACTTCAAGTTTTGCTTGAACTCTTTTGCCCATGGAGTTAGTTTCGAGTTAGTAAGGGTGACATCTAAACACGCTAATCCCTCGTGCCTTTTGTACACACACACAAAGTCCGTGAAGTCTGTGGAGGTGGACCGTGTGTTGATCTTGAATTGGCCGTTGTGCACGGCCTATTGTTGTTCAATTTACGCTCAAGTGCACACCGCGGAGTATTGAAACGTATGACGTTTCAGCAAGAAATATCGTACAAATGCTGTTGAAATGACTCTAGCGAATCAGTATTTGTGGCGTTTGGCTGTACATCAGAAGTTGGCTGGAAAATTTTGCCTTTTGTGAAAATCGAAATTTACGGCAAAAATAATCCCGGCGCGAAGTGTTAGGCTCAAGGGCAAGCAGGCAGATTCTGTCACGTTTCACTGCTCTTCAAACTGCAATGTTTTAGGCAGTGCTGTTTGACACTCACATCCATCCTGAAATGATAATGTCTATATTCCAATTTAACATGCATATCTTTTACTATGCAGGTGATTTTGCAACAGCAAAACAGATGAGCATGCGGACCTCCACAATTGCAGGTACTTGTATACTTGAATTTGTATTTATAACGAAAGAGTAGTTCAGCATTTTGGGGGCAAAGGGACCAGTGCCTGGATTGATCAGTTGTTCAAAGGTTACGGGTTCCAATCCTGTCTGTAGTACTCAAGTTGAATTCATAGAACGCCGATAATGTAAGAAGAACATGACCATAGCCAGCTCTTTAACCAAAACCTTAATTCATGCACAGAAAACAATGAAGCAGATATGGTCTTTGATGAAAGAAACAAGTTATGACTATTTTAATTTAAAAAATCACAAAATTCAGCTGTCCTCTACTGAGCATTTACCATTCTACGAACTGATGAATACCCTTTAAATACAATGAAACGTGGACGTCTTCTGACCTCCATGAGTGAACGAAAACTTGCAAAGGAAAACAGACAAAAATGACAATCAGTATTTCAGAAAAAAAAAAGAATTGTCTTGTTCCTTTTATTCAAAATACAAAATCTGACAGTAAAAAGTATGTTCCAGTCTCAACTCAAATGATTAAAATCTCATTTGTATTTGAGTGCCTGTGTGTAATCTGTAATTCTCACTCAGCTCAATAGCTTCCAATGGCATTCCATGGACATCTATAAAAAAATAAGTTCTTTTAAAAAGTAAAACATGCATAACCTCTGAAAGCATGGATCAATTTCAGTAATCTTTTCTTGTGCAGATGAGTGGAAGAACATGCTCTTTTAAGACACACTTCAATGGTGCATCAAATTTGATTGCATTTTAAGTAAAACAAAACTTTGATCCAGGTCATTTTCTTTTTGACTCACCCTACACAGTGGACTAGATCTAGCCCATTGGTTATTAGCATTGCAGGGTAATCCTATTTCACACTTTTAGAGTAAAATGAGACTAAGCAAGTCTCTTTCACAAGTTACAGTCAGTCAGTGCACAAAGGACTAAAGGCTTGCCCCTTCTGGAACGTCAAAAATTCTAATGAATGCAAAATGCTTTTTCTGTGTGTACTCTTGCTGTTGTCATTTTATACGTGTCTGTGTGTGTGTTTCAGTTCACTGTAAGTTCAGTCATCAATCTCAACCAAACTTAAAAGGTGGTCTGTGGAGAGAAGGCCAACGTCAAAAAAATCCTTTCCAATATAGATTTTTACGAGGTCTCTGGAGAGCTCAGCTCAGTATTACTAATGACTCTAACATGTGGGCCTTTCCACACTGAAGGGGTTCAATAGTGTGACGTGGGATTGGGAAATAAAGCAGGATAATAAGATCAAGTTGTTTGTCCTATTTCCCACTTCTACATTCCCAGCCCATTGTTGAGGATTGTGCTTTTAAAGAATTTAAGACTTTTGTGACAAGATATTTATGCTCACAGTGCTACGTACGTAACATGGACAGAAAGTTTGCAAGGGGAATGGTGCAAGTTTTACTGTGTGTAATCTTTCTGTGTGTAATCTTGTTGTCATTTTATACAATTTTTCAGGGGACTATGCAACAGCCAAACAGATGAGCCAACAGCAACAGCAACAGCAGCAACAACAACAGCAACAGCAGCAACAGCAGTTGCCGCATCAACTGGTAGGCCAGCCAATCACTCCACAGATGGCACAGCAGATCAGCCAATCAGTGGCCCAGCGTGGCAGCCAGTTCCCACCAACCACCACCAAGGATTCTAGACTGTCTCCTAGACGAGAGTCACCCATGTCTAAGAACTTTCCTCCAGGACAGCAACATGTCTTAGATCCACAGATCCAGCAACAGATGCTGCAACAATATGCACAGGTAGGAATCGGGGGAATCTTTTCCTAAAGACTTCAGTTCTACAGTTGCGCTGAACCAAATTGTTCCAACGAGTTAGATTCATTACAGGAACAGTTCAACATTTGAAAAAGATAGAAACGACTATATCCAAAGATCAACTTTCACTGTATTTTTGCAACAACTCTCAGAGTCTAGAATTCCCATTTGACACTGAAATCCGTTCGGATCAAGAAGAGTTACTCCTAATACATTTTGCAGGATTCTGGAATGCTAGTCTGAAACATTGGTAATTCTGCTTAATACTTGGAACTTCCCAGATTTTATAATAATCCTGCACTGTGCAGTAAACTGTTTGGCACATGTTCTATACATGTACGTCAACTTTCAAGTCTCGAAGACATTAATTAGTGGCAGGGCTATACCTTCCACAATCCTACTGCGAAGTTCCCGACCGATTTGGAAGCATCTTGGATAGTGAGGGTTAACTCATATTCTTTATTAAGTTTGGTAGATTACTGGTGGAGATGTTTTTTTTCTGCCACAATTGGGTTTCAGGTGCTTATGTTCTTGTCAGACTGTGCTGACCAAAAATGCCTACGTAAACCTTTGGTAGCAAACATCCTGTAGATGATAATTCTGCATTTGAGTGTGGTGTTTTTTTTTTAAACACATACATGTAAATGTAATTCAGTCCACTTGAATTAATTTAGTTTTTAATATGAACTGGTTTGTGATTGATTTGAGATTTGGATTTCCTTTTCTGTCCCTACAGAGTGGACAGATTGTCTACCTGCCCTATTTCCCCCCGGGTCATTCCCACATACTAGCTCATCAGCACTACCCAGGGGGTATCCCCTCCCCCCACCACCCCCACCCCTCCATCAGTCCCCACACCACACAGGCACACCCGTCATCCCAACACCCTGCCCACAGCGACCGACGCACAACCTCTCCAATGCAGCAGCAGCAACAACAGCAGCAGCAGCAGCAGAGAGAAGTGACCTCACCGGCTGAACACTACGCCCAGCAGCAAGCCGTGAATTTATCCCACAGATGGCCTGCGCCTCCAAGTGTGGGTGCCGTGCGCTTCAAGCTCCCACCCAGGGGTTCCAGCCCGGGTGCCCATCCGGGCTCGGGGGTGCACCCTGTCACCCATCCGGGTTCCTTCCCATCAACATGCTCCCATCCTGCCACCGCTGCTCATAGCATCACCACAGTCCACCCAGCCTACTCCGCCCATCTTCCCGGTGCCCATATGGTGGCTAGCAGCCACCCAGGAGCCCATCACATGAGAGGTACAATGGGCGGGAGCATCATGACGGGGACACCCATCAGGCCTCCACCCAGTATCACCTCGGGAACGCCCAATCCAGAGCTGAGGGAGGAAACGCCAAGAAGTCGAGCAGAAAGCACTTCAGGTATGTAGGCTTCTTAGTGCATTCGTGAATACAAATGCAAAGGAACCCAATATAGTATTTATCTTATTATTTACTTGTTTGGTTTAAAAGGGCACCAATACAATAATACAATAATTAAAAATGAATGAGTTACAATGGTTATCACGAAATATTCGGTGAAAAAACAAGGAATGCTATGAGTGTTTAAAAAATAATTTTCCAGACTTTTATAGCAGTTCACTGCCTTAATTTGATGAAATTTAAACTAAACATAATTGAAATCATGGTGATTTCATTTTCATTTCATTTCATCAAAATGTATTTCCAATTCCATCAATCAATAGGAATACAATGTATATCAATAAATAGAAGAGGAGGATTTGGAGGCACAGCCAAAAAAACGCACAGCTTGTGTTAGGGAGTGCCCATACAATAATAAACACTACAGTACAGACTGAATTGACAAAACAAAAACAGTGCATATCAAATACACACAAGATTGCAGTGGTTGATCCAACGGTTAAAAAGAAAAGAAAATATTTAATAAGGATGGATATGATAGTAGAAATTAAAATTTAAAAAATCACTTTTGAAGAAGGTAAAACGTTGTAAGAACATTGAAAACTGAATAAGCTCTGACTGACTATTCATTAGACTTACAGGCAATCCATTCCAGTGAAGTGGCCCAGAGTGCCTTATACTGTGTTTAAAGGCAGATGTCCCGAACTTGGAGATATGCAGTAGGGAAGATGACCTAGTATTATAGCTGTGTATATTATGATTAGGTTGCACCTAGCCCAGGTTGGACTACGTCTTCATTGCATTACGACTGACGTCCAGGGTTAAATTGTACCACCGTAGCAAACCAATTATAACACATTTTTTGTCTTCACATTTTTACCTGATGGAGGAAGCCGAAAATTTGTGTACATACATGTATTTCTTGTGTCCAGAATTGTGCAAATTAAGCCGCAAATTTAGACGAAGATGGAAATTTTGATGAAAAACGGACGAGGTTGACGGAGCGAAATTAAAAGGTGTGTCACATCTTGAAAGGGCGCCCTCTGACATCCAAACCAAACATGTTTTTAATATCCTTGCTACATTGGGCACAGACCCTACTCAACTGGTTCATTTTTATAAATGATGCGTCTACTGTTCATGGTGCCATTTATCATGCAGAGAGTTACGTTTTCCTTTATTAAACTTGACAGGATCTGGTGGTAGCAAGTCTCCTGGTGCAGCTAGTGGTTCGGAAGCTTTTCGCACACTTGTCCATGTAGCTGCCTCAGCTGAAACACTTGGAACAGCACAGGAAAAAGGTGACCAACTATAGAATGTACACTTCCATGTAGCAAGGATATTAAAAACATGTCTTGTTTGGGCTTTTGAACCAGTGTATAAATTGAATTATATAAATTGAATTATTGTCTTTGATTTCAGAAGCAAGGAGACAGCAACAAGCCATTCATGAGAGTAGAGAGCGTGATGCCAGCTCCTCTAGCGAATCCCACGGCTATCCACGACGACCCTACTCAACTGGTTCCAGCCACTCGGGTCCAAGCCAAAAGCGGTGGATCTCTACGTCGTCTGATAACCAGATGGCCCATCGGGAAGCTGCCCCGTCTGGAAGCAGTCGCTTGACGCCCAAGGGACGGGAATCAGAGAGTAAAGAGAGGAAGGAGGAGGTCAGACACAAGGAGCAACAGCAGAGAAACCACAACATGGAACGAGAAGCCTCAGCCATCTTTGCTGCTCTCTTTGAGAAGGACAAGCAGTCATCCCGGGTCTCAACTGAAGAGGACTCGGAGAGCTCCAGCCGCCCACTGACGGCGGCCAGTCTGATTGATGTGATCATCACACGCTCCATCAACCAACCCATGTTGGACAATCATGACCAAGGGACTGACTCGGACAGCGGTGATGGGTTGTCTGTTGGACCGAGCGTGGCTTCCTCCAAAGAGAAGTCCAGCAAGAATGTGTCCGACTCAGACTCGCTGCAGCCGGAGAATGGAGACAGTAATGCTGTACCCTCATCGTCAACAGAGCGTTCTCCAAGTTCAGGAAAGGATCCGAAGCAACAAGAGAAGGAGGCATCTGGAGAACAGCAGGAGAGGCCTCAGGAAAGCCTGGTCCCGGTGACTTCACCATCCCCACTACCCATTACCCTGGCTGAACATATAGACACTATCATCTCCATGGACTACAATAAATCTGACCAGGTGAGTCAGGCATCTACATCAGCAGCCACTTCTGCCACCGGAAGCTCATCCTTGAAGCGAGATCGTGTAAAGCCATCAGGTGTGGATACCACAGAAAGCCGGGAACAGGGACCATCCTCTAGCTCTCCTCGTGCTAGATACAGGACACCCGATAGTGAAGTCGGATCAACCAATGATGCAGCAAGGAGAAGCAACCCGGTTGCCTCATCCCTGCAGAGTATCCATGGTGCTCGCAGCAGCAGCAGCAGTAGTAGTGACTGCAGAATGAGGAATTCGGGATTGATGTCTTACGGTGGGCCTGCGGAACCGAGTGTCAATAGCTCCAAAGAAGGTAGTCCAAGAAGCAGGGCTGCCTCCACAGCTTCTGATATATCAAGTGCTTCTGCATCCCCAGCCAGTGCCAGACCGGACAGCTACTCGAACAGGGTTTCCTCCCAGTGGGGTTCACGTAAGGACCAAGAAGCGACATCTGCTGGTAGGGTCTCAAGGAGCTCATCGGAACAGAGTCGAGAGGCTTCACCAGTCAGTGTCAGTGATATGACTCCATCTGCTGTGTCTTGGCAGAGGAAGTATCAACAGGAAGGTAACGGAGCCGACAGCAGTGAGAATGCTACCAGAGGATCCCAGCCACGATTCAGGGTCCACAGCTCTCAGTCAACCTCCCCACACCAGCCAGAAAGCTGGGGAATGGCTGATTCCAACCGGCCACCATCTCGAGGTAGACGCAGGGACTCACCAAAGACCATTGTGGAGCCTGGGTCAAGCTCCTCTTCTGTGCTGGATGCAGCCTCAAGCAGCGAAGACAGATCTCGTTTTACTCCTGGTCCTGTAGAGAGTGGAGTCAGCGATAGCCAACGGCAGCTCAGCAGCAGCCAATCAGGCCTCAAGTCCAGATCAGAAGCTGAGAGCTCCCGCAGCAACAACCCAGCTCCCCAGAGCACCTCTCATGAGTACAACTCAGATAGTCCTCTGCAACCTGCTGATAGTATGTCCCAAATGAGACAGTCTGTGATGGGTACAGCCCAATCAGTGGTGAATAGATCTCCAAAGAATGGACAACCTAGCATGCTTCCAAGCAGCAGTCAAGGTAGACAGCCTCAGAGGAAGGACACTGGCTTGTTCCGGTTTGATCTCCAGAAGTCCATCGACCGTATGATTGAATCTCAAGTGAGGATGGAGACACCATCCAGGATGGACCAGCAGGTCAGAATGGATGATTATGTGACGCGGCTTGTGGAGGCTGAGATGTCTAGCTCCCGGTCTTCTCCACAGCGCTGCGATAGCAGAGAGAGCACCAGCACGGCCGAGTCTGGTGCCCTGGAGGTGGATGAAAGCCGACTGTCTGATGTCTCAGACTTGGACAATCACGAGGCAGAATCAGTCCAGCAACCAAATGTCTCACAGCAGCGTCCTAGAGGTTCAAGCCCGAGACTGCCTTCCCGAGATAACAGGGATGGGGAAGCAGCTCCAAGTTCAACACCTGTTGATGGTGCTGCAAGGCTGAGTGTGGGCTCTTCAAGTGGAATTGGTAGTAACAGGGCATCAGGTGTTATCTCTCCAAATATAGCCGCACAGCCTCAGCTCGATCCCTCTAACCAACCCAGCCAATCAGTACCCACTTCCTCACCATCCCCTGTCTCTCACCAGGGTTTCCCATCCTCGGGCACCGGGCAGGCAGGGAACCAGTTTGCATATTCAGCCTTATCGTTCAGATCAGCGGCAGGAGTAGCCCCTGCTGCCTCCTCCTCTACAACAAGCTCCGCCCAGAACCATCTAGCCAATGTTCATCTCAGGATCCCCTCCCCCCACCTTGGACCCGCTAGGGGGCCATCACCAGTCCCTGGTCCAGGAATAGCTGGTGTTCGTGAGAGGGAACCAGCACCTTTGCTGTCCTCTCAGTACGAGACCTTATCAGATAGTGATTAACCTAGATAAGTAGGAGATTACAAATAGTGTTGTTTGTTAAGTTGTAGTCGTTATTATTGATTATTGGAATCAACAACTTGGTAATTAATATTGATCTCCAAAGCTTACGGACAACCTAAGACTGAAGTATGTTTATTTTATGTTTCTTTTGTCAACTTTCTTACTCATATGCACATCTTTGTGATAAAAGATGGACTGACTTTTTTAAACCATGCAAAAAATACTCTCTACAGAAGTACATGTACCATTCGTGGTGAGATGTCTGTTTACAGACACATGGTTACAGGTTATTTGCAGAAAAATCTTTATTTGATCAGATTTAATATGCCGCTAAACAAGTTTGCCCTGTTTTATTGCAGATTTACCATATTTGTAATAACCATCGCTGTACAAGAATGCGTTTCTTTGGGCTAAAAACAAAACGACTAAACAAAACCATTGATTAAAATTAAGAATCTAGCTTTATTTTGATCTTGAAAATGAAAATATGATGCCAGTGTTTCGTGAAAAATTCTGTTAACCTTTGATTGTTACCCTCTCCTTGAGGAAAAAAAATGTCCAAGACATTTTGTCATTCATTTGTAATTTTGTTTTAGTTTTACTGTAGGAAAAAAAACTGTTAAAACAGTCAAACATGTTTTTATTTAGACTTTTAGTTGTGTGTTAAAAAATGGTCATTTTGATGAAAAGTGAATGTGGCTGCTTTTTAGTATTATGATAAGTTTGGTTGTTTTAAAAATAGCTTTTGATGGCAAGAATGCTCTGAAATTTTGGCTTGATATTTCAGAGCCATTGTATCACAAACCCTCCAGAATCCATCAAATTCTAACGCTTCTGTTTGATTGTTTTTGATGGTTTCAGGACGTTACAGCCAATTACTTTGCAAGAGCATCATTCAATGAATTTTGGGTCCAAAGTGTGATATGTTTTGTTGTTCCTGTTACCTTGGTACTTTGTCATTTGCCATTCAAGTGTCATGAATGAGTTCAAACAATAAATTTATTTATTGGGTAGGTAGTTTGCTGTTCATAACCACTCTTGGAGGATGACTGCATGAATGAGTGCATCGGAATTATAAAATCACAGATGTTATATGTAACAGGGACAGGAGAAAAAGTGGACCCCAAATTTATAGAATAACCCAATAACATAACGTGGGCATTGATGATGAGAGTTGGATTTTTGGGGACTTCCTTGTTGAAAATCATCCCTGTTCTCTTGTGAATTTTGTGTGCTCGCAAGAATTGCCTAGGGTTAGGATTAACTATTTGTTTTTGATGTTTAGCAAATTTTCCCTCCATAACTGGTTGGTTCTAAGTCCTCCCAAGTCAGTTGTAAGACGTCTCAAGTCACAAGCTGTTCATATGAAGAGGGGCAGCGTTCTCTGTTGCTTGCAACTTGCTGGTGACTTGAATTGTGATTGACTTTACAACTCTGGTTTTGAATTGGCCTAACATTAGCTGGTCACGCACACAAAAGAAAATGTAAAAAATCATGTCGGCAAATTTTGTGTTCGCACCCCTGCTAAAAAAAAGACGTTTGGCTGTTGTGAGAGAAGTGTGTTATCTTATTACAGTGTCAATAAAAGTGGAACTTTAGGCTGAAATCTGTAGGTTTAGAAAGCAAAAGTCAGTCCACTAACAAGAAGGGTCACTGAACGCAGTTTCTGATAGAATCGTGTTTGGTATGAAGGATGTACATAAAGTTGTACTGTTGTTTTGCAGCGCTGCCTGTTCATATTAACTGGCGCTACAATTTCTCTGAAACTTCAGTGTTAATGATAAGTGTAATGTATGACTGTATGAGTCTCGTTGTTACACAGTCATAGATGCACTCGGTCACTCACAAAGCACTTGTGTTATGAGTAAGCCACTAGGAAGTCGAATATGAGCAAGTTTCAGGACCATTTTAGTCAGCTAGTGGTTTATTTGTGACTTAACCCTAACACCGCAAAAAAAGAAAGTCCACACTCATTGGAGGGGTCATAATTTTGAATCTGATCGTCTTTATAATGAAGTCATTTATGTAGACCTTTGGAAAATGTTGTTAGCTACATTTTGATACCCCATTGCGACCAATGAAAAATGATGCCGTTTGAAAAGTAGCAAATTTTAAGATTACGCGAGGAGAAATTGCTAAGCGCAAACACACATGCCCGTAATTGGCCCCTATCGACTGCACAGTGGCCAAACAAAGCGCAGGTAATTCAATTTCGCGTGCTCCCATGCATACAAGCACTGTGCGATCAATATTCCCTTTTGTTCGTTGCTGGCAGTGTAACATTGTCACGCAGCAATTTCCACTCGCGCACTCTTTCAATTTGCAACTTTTCAAACTGCATCATTTTTCATAAACCGTTGTCAATGTTAGACGATTTGCCTTCTTTGGTAGCAAAGGGGGTATCAAAATATAGCTAACATTCCCCAAAGGTCTATATAGATGACGTTAACACAAAACGATCAGATTCCAAAATTATGACTCCTCCAATGAGTGTGGAATTCCTTCTTTTTTTTTCTTTTTTTTTTGCAGTGTTTACATCTGCAGGAAAGAGTTCCATACTTGGACATCACTTGACACCCTGTGCACAAACCCTATGAGACTGGTCTGAAAAGTTCCAACTGTTTTCTTAATGCTTCAATATTTTCCCTGCTAAATTTGACTTTTTAGGACACGTTATCGCTTTCTGATGGCTGATAGGTCACTGCAGGGAAACATTAGTGATGTCCATGTTTGGAATATTTTCCCATCTGCACACACATACATGTACCAACGTGAAAATGCTTTTAGTCAAACACTGGTTGAAAAGTCATCACAAAAACTTCTCCGTCCTGCTTCCTGAAATTGGACCATTGTTTTGCAGTGCAAGCAGCACTACTGGTCGGTCCTACTAAAATGTGTCAACAAGCGTCAACGGTCGTCAACCCGTTATTAGGTTATTCTATACGTGAAGCTAGCCATACAATGCGTGCGTGAAGTGTACGGTGCCAATCCAAACAAGATGGCGGCCAACACTAACTCGACAAACTCGTCGTACGTTTCGCTTTGAAAAAACAACTTGTGAAATAATGTTAACTTTAATTTATATGCTGAAGGTGTTCTTTGTTGCTATTTCTACCATATAAAGCTTCTTTGATGTTCCAAAACTTATACCAAATTTGTTGACAATGGGTTGACGACCGTTGACGCTTGTGGAGGCCAGTTGACAAATGGTTGACGCTTAAGACGCATTTTAGTAGGACCCTACTGGTTAATTTTCACTGGATAATTTATCAAAAGGAGAACAGAAGGGTTTTTTTTATGATTTTATATGCATGGTTTATGTTGAGCAGTGAGCTTTTTATTAGTGAATACTCACTCAACTCGTTGCTTCTATGGTTTTTATACTTTCAAAGAAAGTTTCGAGTGCTGTCACGCCTAAATATTACTGCAAGTTACTAACAGCGTAAAGTTTCTAATGTTTTCTTAAAAGGTACAAATTTGTGTGATTGTAAGATACCTATACAAAAAAAAACAAGTATTGATGTTAAACTACAAAAAGTTTGTGATATTTTTGTCAACCAAAGTTTTACCACCTCTGAAGTGTTTTGTTTTCTTGTCATTTGGAACTTGTCACTTTGTTTTTGTTGAGATTTTTTTGGGCGGGAAAATTGAGGTGGAAAAACTAATGTACAGATTTTCTGTTGGTGAAGATATTCATTAAAAACAATGAATGTTGACTGAATATTGCTGGATCAGTGTTTTTATTCTTGCACATCAATCACATTTTTGCTTAAAATTGAATTACTGTAGTAATTTCTGTGCTTTGGTTGTACAATATATTTTGACTTAAAGTCAGAATAATAAAATCTACATGTAAACTTGACCCCCCCCCCAAAAAAAAATGAACATTTTTAAAGCCACACCAAAACTGTCATACAAGACCAAATGCACTAGTGACTGAGTAATGCCAGTCCACATGTGATTTACAACAGACCTCTGTCCAACATATAAAATAAGAAAAGAAACTTGTCAGAGTTTTATAACTGAAGTGTTTTAATTCAACAATTAACTCATAAGCAATTCACCAATTAAAGGAACGCTTTTACTTTCCCTAGATTCAGTTTTTTTTAATAGTTTGAGAGGGCGCTGTAACCAGTCAAAAATGTTAGGTATATAGTGCCCGATCAGGCACTATACTCGCGCGATGTCTTGACGCATGTCTAGTTCACAGTTTATTTGGATAAGAAGTTTATAAAAATGAATTTTGAGTCCTGGCGTTTCCTCAAAAATAGAAAAAAATATTTAGGTAGACATTGTGACACACAAACTAACTTCTTTTATAATGGAAATTAATCAAAAATATATGTTTGTTATGCACAGGTTTTTCAAATGAAACGCAGTGCAAATGTGATAATTTTCTCTCCTCAAGTATAATACAGAAGCGTGTACATGTACATGCATTGATATCACAGCTGGTCGTTATTAATCGATCAGCATTTTTTGGCTTTCTGAAACGTTAGGTTCATCATTCTATTATGTCGCCCTGTCACCGAAGTATTCGGTACAGTACAATGTAATAGCTCCGTGGCTGACGACCAGTTGACAGGTGTCAACTACTGCCTGCACGCTGATTGGTCTTCGTTGATACAAAGCGGCGTATTACGGTTGCCGACTTCTGAACCTTGCGCTCTCGTCTGTGGAGAACACCGGACCGCCGGCCCATTGGAAGGGGATTTGAATAGTCCGTGCGCGTTGAGCCAGTGTCGTGATCATAATTAAAACTTCTCTTTGGAAATAAAGAGACTGGCCAAAAACTGCATGGACTAAAATGCCACTAGACATGTATCCGCATCTCTTTGTGAGTGTACATGGTTGATAAAAATAAGTCCAATTGCACAATTGGCCAATTAGTCTGGTGAGGGTTTGGAAACATCCAGGAACTCTTTAAATTATTCCACAATGTATCATTTTAAAGAGAGCAAATTATTACTGTTTTTCTGAAACCTGGTAAAAAGGGCAAAAATGTAATACATGATTCGACTGGTAAGCTATACTCTATATTCTGTCTCTTTTGACTCATTATTGGTAACTGCTGACTGTATGCAAGAGACGTACATGACTTTGTATACGGCCTGATTGGTAAAAAAATAAACCTGTCGGTTTTTATCACCATAGGTGTTTATGTCACCATCAGCCCAGGGATAATCACCAATGTCCATTAATGAATTTTTCCGAGGAACACGATTTGTGCAACTTCCCTCTATCCTTAAAGAGAATGTACAACATTTGCTTTTGCTGCAATTTTCAGAAATAAATGGATTTGGAGAATTAGTATGTTATAGCAAATTTGGTTAAACTTACTTGTTTCACGTTTTGGGCTTGTATATGCTGGAAAAACCAATAAACCAATCATGTTCTTGTAGTCCGGCTCCCTGAACGGAGAAATGTAAAGACTTTGGGGAATTGTAAGGTCAAAGAATCACTCTAGCAGGCTTGTACCCCCTTCACAAGTGTGCAATAAATTGCAAAGCAAGTGCGGAATAAACAAGTGAAAAAGTATGAAAACTACATGTATCTGACAACCCTTTGTAGTTAATTTTATTCAAAGTGAACTTCTTTAAACATTTGAATTCCATGCTTTTCCTTGTGGAAACCAACTTTTGCTGTTTGGCTTAGACCTAAGT